AATTAAATTAATTTGTATATTAAGAGTCAGATGATGATGAAAAAAAATTACATTGTATTATAAAAAATATTATATTATATAATTAATCATGTTTAAGAATATTTCTTTTTACTATTTATTAAATTTCTTATCTTCCAAGAAAGATTGAGATTTACACTACGTATTTTAAAACTAAATCATTTATTAAGAATAATTGAATTTATCATTTTAATATATTTTAAAATTATTACATGCAATTAATTGTTAAAATTTAGATAATATTAGATTACTTTGAAAATTAAGATAAATCATTTGTTATAATAAAAATTATTGATCCAAATTCTTTAACTATATTTTGTTCCAGTCATAATATTGATATTTTTAATATCTATAGCTTTTTTTTTGAGAAGTAATATTTCTCAATACTAAATCCCAAAGACATGTACATACAGAATTATTTAAATATTCTAATTATTTCGTAATATTCCTTTTATTTTTGCGATCTATTATTGTTTTAGTATAAATGACTTTTCTTTGCAGGCATTTGCGAAATGATGAATGGATCATTACACACAATTTTTCATCAAATTATGGTTTGTTTAATTCAATAAGAATGGTGATCCTTGACATAATCTGATAACAGAATTCCATCAAATAATTGTGATTTTTTAGATTCACATAATTGGTTAAGCTCTATATTCATTATTTGTTGAAAATCTTTTTTCTACTTAATTCTATTCAGGTTTACAAATGCCACAAAATTGTGAAACAATTCTATTAATTATCTAACAATTTTGCTTTAGTTTATGTGTTATATGAAAATGTTAAACACTTTCAATCATAATTTCTAGTATTAGGGTTATCAACATAGTTGAATTCTATCTTTGAAATATCACCAAAATTTTATTTTTGATTATTAATTTATGGTTAATGGAACATCATTTTTTTTGTTCATAATAAATGTCTGTCGACAAAAGAAGAAGCAGTTAGCATTTATCATTTATAACAAAATTACACTTACAATTATTAAAAATAAATCCAAATAGAATAGAAATAGATAATCCTAATTTTGGGATCTGAAATAGATATCTTCCATTTAGTTATACCTCTCAAATTGGAAATATCAGAATTCTTGTTAACAATTTGCATTATTCTTCTGAAAGCAAAAGAATAGAAAAAAAAAGGAGATACTTTTTAATTATGTGTGTCTTTATGGGAGTAAAATAATATAAAAATAATCATAATTTATTGGCATCACCTGTTTAGATTATTTATTACTGATGAATTTCATGAGTCTATTGAAAGAAGTTTCAATACTTTTAAATAATTATAATTTTTAAGTTGTAAGATTAAAAATATTTAAAACTTCGACTCTTCTTTCATGATAGAAAGAGAATAACATTAGTTACAATTGTACCGGATTATCAATTTTCAATTAGTGAATTTTCACAAATGCCAAAAATAATATTGTTTATTGTTAATTATTGATTATAATATAATTTTATTTTCAATTTTTCTATTCAATTTCTACTGCTCTAACTTATTTTAATTAAGTAAATCTAACATAATTTGATCGTTATAAAAAAGATTTCATTTACACCATATATTGTTATTTAACATTATAATCACAAAAAATATCAATTTAATAATTTCTTTAAAAAGGCAAGTTCTTAAGTTATATCATTTCATTATTTTAAACTATTAATTCAAAATAAACATTTTTTTCAAGTAAAAGGTTGCTTTCTGGGGCAAAAAGAAAAGTTGTTGTGAGTAATAATTGTTATAAATACTTTTGATTTATTAGATTAACATTTTAAAATAAGTTTCCACATATTTTTAAATATCAAATAATAAAATTAAAAAAATAAATAGTGATTGACATTAAGTGAGTTCTGTAAATTTATTTTTTGTTCAATTTAATGATAATCAAAAAAAGAGGTTCCAACTCATTGTTGTCTGTAGATATATTAGAATGATATAAATTATATTAACTATCAAAAAATTTTTAAATCATCACTATGATTCATATCTCATAGCTTGCGAGTTATAATTGTCTTCAACAATATCGTTTTAATTAATTTGTTCATTTAACTACGTTTAAAAAAAGTGAGAATATTTCAACTCACATTACAAGATTGCATTTTTAGCAATAACAACTAAATTCTATTGCTTATCAAATTTTGGGTCTATTGTAACATCTGGCCAAAAAAATTTCCAAAACCTATTTCTTATTTTACTCTTCAATAATTAATGTCTTATTTTTTTGGATATAACATTAGAATATTTAGTTCTACTCTCTTAATTAAATTAATTAATCCTTTTTTAGTCTTTCCTTAAATGAAAAAAACTTAAATTTACCGTATGATGTCAAAAATAAACTTTTTATTTTAATTAATGGAAAATCATTAAAAAATGCAGAAAATTTTAGATAATGAAAATGCATGTAAGCATTTAATAGAGAATATGAATATGCATTCAATTCTTTTATTTATAATTAAAAAATGAATCTAAAATTTTCATTTCAATAAATTTACTGAAATAATCTTACAATTTTGTCCTTTAAATATCCAGGAATTACTTTAACAACATATTTTAATATTTTTAAAAGTTTTATGAAAAGTTATGGTATTCTCATAACAATATCAATTATTGGTTAAATGATATAACCCCCAACAAATCTGTTAATTAAATTCCAAATTCCTCTTTAGTTTCTGTTTATTAAATCGAATAATTATTGAGTTGTTACAGAGGCTACTGTTTAGCAGTTATTATTAACTAAATGATAATTTCCCTGATAATTGGCATTCATTGTCATCAAATTCTTAATGTGACTAACTAAAATATTGCCATTAACTTAAAATTTTTTCTTACTATCCCACCAACTATTTTGCATCACTTTCCAATTATATTGTTCATCTTGAAATTCTCTCAAATCTTCCAAATATCTAGGATTGTTTTTTATATTTATATTAATCTAATAACAACGCACTTCACTCTACCCTTTATCAAGCTTCATGTATTCAACAATATGATATTTCATATTATTATCAATAGAAGTTGTATCTGTATTTGAAGTAACCACCAATATAGCTTAATGAAACAGCGGTCCAATATTTATCATATTATCTAGATCCCTTTTAACATTTGCAATAAATATGACTTTATCATTAGAGACTTCCAATTACACCTATTAATTTTCATTTGGTCTGCCAATTCTAATCCCACTGCTTACATATTGCTAATTGTTTGTAATTGGAAGAGTTAAAGACATTTTCTTATAATTTTAAAGGAAAATAAATTTCCAATTAAAGGAAATATCGTAATTCTATTAAATTGTTTAATAGAAATTAAATTAAGAAATAAATATTAAAAATAAATATTTTATTCATTTTCATAGATTCACACACACATGATGTCAATAATGATAGTGTAGCTCAAAGATAAAAAGCTAAGAAAAATAGGGTTGGTAATACCGTTTTTTTTTCACTATCAAATGTTCTTTATGTTGCTCTCTGATACATATTTAGGATGGCAAAGTTTCCCAAAGATTGAGTCGGGTGTAAACCCAATTTTGGTGACATAAGTCAATTAGAACATGAATTTAAATAGAACTATGTTGCAAAAATGTTTTAAGGGTTAATGATACTCATTAGCTCAAAGGGCAAATTAGACATAATTAGTTTTTGGGTTTGTTTTTATGACGATAAAGAAAAACAGAGGTTAGTAGAAAAAAAAATTATTCTATTATGTAAATATCTAAAATCAATATAAAAATTTTTTAATTGCTTTAGAAAAAATCTTTTTTTATATAGAAAAAACGGTTGGTTTTTACTTAAGTAGTATTAGTAAGCAATTATCTAGTGATAGTATTAGTTTTTATGTAAGTAGTAATAGTAACCGCTTATCTAGTGATAGTATTATAAAGCAGTTTTAATAAATTTTAGAAATCAATAATATTAAAATAATTAAATTTAACTCATTAGTGTGATTTAAATTTAAATCAAATCAACTTTTAATTGGTTCTATAAAATATGGATGAGACCCATTAGGAATTAAAAATTACTATTTCAGAGTTAAGTTGTTCAGTGTCACATATACGATACTTTATAATTAAGTAAAAGAAGAGCTTAAATTATATGAAATATATATACAAAATTGATGCTTAGATTAACATCTAAATTTTCTTTTCATGATTGAAATAATTTGGAAAGTCTTTAATTAAAATTCAACATATTTTTTTTAATGAAAAATAGATAAATAAATTTGAATATTATGACATCTCTTATAGACATCATTAATTAATACTTAACTAAAATTTGTAGATGTAGGGGTTTTATAACTTTTCATTGATATATAAATATATTTTGATGTTATCTTCAAACAAACAGAAATAAAATATAGATGATCATATAGATAGGTTAATGAAATTATTAATCTAAATTTGAACCCTTATTTGATTTAAACTTGATGAATAAGTAATAAAAAATGGTGTTAGTTTTTTCTAGAAATATTATTTGGATTTTTATTGCTTTTTCCTGCTCAATACAAGTTTTGAGAAAAAGAGATTTCCTAAATGTATAATGTAATTTAATAATATCAAATCTTTTAATCATTTTTTTTTAAATAATCTTTTTATTGATTTTTTTTAATTTTACAAATTTAAACTTCTAACTAAACCTAAGTTAGATTTTTATTACAAAATTTAATTATTTTATACCAAATGATAAATGAAAATATCACAAAGAAAATAAGCCAGTAAAAAAAATAATTCATATGATTTCATCCTATTTCTTCATTTGATTCCCAAATTTATTTGAATCTTCAATTGCCTTAATGCAATTCAACGAGAATTTTATTAAAAAATTTTGAAAATGTAACTTTTTAACTTATGTCCCAAAATTTATGCATGCAAACTAATTAGACTTTATTATAGAACTTAATTTTCGAAATTAGGGCTTTAAAGGTGACACTAGGCCTTTATATAAGAAATAAAACCCTCTGCTTAAATAGTTGGACATTTTTATCTCCTTTTTAATAAGTATCAAATGTTTCCTACTTTGGTTAGTTGTTTATATTTCCCCCATTTTCTTTTTTTCAAAATAGAGGATCTTACTCTTTATTTTCTCTGCTTTACTAAAGATCTCTATGTCTCTTGGGAGAATTAATGATAACCCTTGGTAGTGTATTTAATATCTTACTAAAAATATTGCCTTCAATATTTTGGTCACTAAAAAGAATATGCGGCATAATTAATTACTAATCTATTTTNAAAGCAGTTTTAATAAATTTTAGAAATCAATAATATTAAAATAATTAAATTTAACTCATTAGTGTGATTTAAATTTAAATCAAATCAACTTTTAATTGGTTCTATAAAATATGGATGAGACCCATTAGGAATTAAAAATTACTATTTCAGAGTTAAGTTGTTCAGTGTCACATATACTTTATAATTAAGTAAAAGAAGAGCTTAAATTATATGAAATATATATACAAAATTGATGCTTAGATTAACATCTAAATTTTCTTTTCATGATTGAAATAATTTGGAAAGTCTTTAATTAAAATTCAACATATTTTTTTTAATGAAAAATAGATAAATAAATTTGAATATTATGACATCTCTTATAGACATCATTAATTAATACTTAACTAAAATTTGTAGATGTAGGGGTTTTATAACTTTTCATTGATATATAAATATATTTTGATGTTATCTTCAAACAAACAGAAATAAAATATAGATGATCATATAGATAGGTTAATGAAATTATTAATCTAAATTTGAACCCTTATTTGATTTAAACTTGATGAATAAGTAATAAAAAATGGTGTTAGTTTTTTCTAGAAATATTATTTGGATTTTTATTGCTTTTTCCTGCTCAATACAAGTTTTGAGAAAAAGAGATTTCCTAAATGTATAATGTAATTTAATAATATCAAATCTTTTAATCATTTTTTTTTAAATAATCTTTTTATTGATTTTTTTTAATTTTACAAATTTAAACTTCTAACTAAACCTAAGTTAGATTTTTATTACAAAATTTAATTATTTTATACCAAATGATAAATGAAAATATCACAAAGAAAATAAGCCAGTAAAAAAAATAATTCATATGATTTCATCCTATTTCTTCATTTGATTCCCAAATTTATTTGAATCTTCAATTGCCTTAATGCAATTCAACGAGAATTTTATTAAAAAATTTTGAAAATGTAACTTTTTAACTTATGTCCCAAAATTTATGCATGCAAACTAATTAGACTTTATTATAGAACTTAATTTTCGAAATTAGGGCTTTAAAGGTGACACTAGGCCTTTATATAAGAAATAAAACCCTCTGCTTAAATAGTTGGACATTTTTATCTCCTTTTTAATAAGTATCAAATGTTTCCTACTTTGGTTAGTTGTTTATATTTCCCCCATTTTCTTTTTTTCAAAATAGAGGATCTTACTCTTTATTTTCTCTGCTTTACTAAAGATCTCTATGTCTCTTGGGAGAATTAATGATAACCCTTGGTAGTGTATTTAATATCTTACTAAAAATATTGCCTTCAATATTTTGGTCACTAAAAAGAATATGCGGCATAATTAATTACTAATCTATTTTTAAGTTTCCTTATAAAGTCTTAAATAATCAAGTATTTCAACTTAGTTTAACAACTTAATATTTTGTCTTATATTTTAAATAATTCTATAACAAATGTAAAACTTCAAATTATTCATTTAGTACAAAATATCATTCCTCGAATGATTTAATCACATAACTATTGACCAAGTTGAAATTGATATAATAATAATTTTTATAACAATTTTGTAATTTGAAGTTAATCGAATTATGAAATCTTTCTTTAAACCTACTTAATATTTCAATATAGTTATAGAATTATCGAATTTTCTTAGAGATATGTATACTAGTGAAATTATGTGTTAAGGGCAATTGTTATGTTGCATGACTATTTCTTTAGCCAGACCATAAACTAAAATGAGAGTTGATCCTATTCATTTTTTATATTCGACAATATCAATAATTGATTTTTTACTACTTTATTAATATATTTGATTCATCTATTTGATAATTTTCAAGATATAAATGATTAAATTGTTGAATAAATTAATTTTAAATGCCTAGCTTGAAACTATAATTATATAATTAATATCATTGATTCTTAAGCAAGTGAAATGATATTCTTTGTAATTAATTTATAAAAATATATGAATATAAAAAAGATTAATTTAATTTAATATATATTTAATTAATTAATAATTTTTAATAGAAAATGGAATAGTAGGATATGAAAATGTGTTAAAAACATAAATTAGAAATAATTTTAGTTGATTTGAATAAAAAGAAAATGAATTAAATTGATGAAACAAAGAATATGATTAAAGAAATGAAAATATATGAATAAAATCAAATAATTAAAGATAATAAAAAGAGATTAGATAATTTTAATAGAATTGAATAAATATTAAGAGAACTTAAATAAAATATAGATAGTATATTTGATAAAATGTTTAATAATATAAAATGTTAATTGAATTAGATATAAAAAAAAATAGGAAATTTAGAATAATATTAAATTATATATAATTTTGAAAATGATATTGAAAGATTATCTTAATGTTAAGAATAACAAATTAATGAATAATAAATTAATTGAAAATGATCATAAATTTATTGAAGAAATTAAAAAATAATTAGAATCTATTATAAATTCTGAAAAATATAATAAATTAATGAATAATCAAAAATTAAGAATGAATTCATAATTAGAATAAGATTTAATAAATAATGAATAAAATTATGAAATAATTAAAACATAAGATTATTATGTATATTATTGATTGATTGATTAACCATATGAAGGGGATTAACATATAAAATAAAAATAATCATATNATAAATAATATATAAAATAATGAAATAATTAAAATATAAGATTATGTATATATATTATTATATATAAATAGAAAACACCTGCATTAAAATTTATTTGTTAAGAACACACAAAAGAAATAATAATGTTTAATTTAAATTCAAATTGTAATTAATAACCAAGAATGGCATGTGTTAAATGTATTTAATAATATCCAGCATAATATACACCTTTAGAAGATGTAAATATTTAATGGGATTAATATTAAAAGAGAAATTAAACTAATTTAAATGAAATCTAAAATACAAGAAATTCAATTTAATAGAAAATATTTAAAATGATTTAAGATATTAAATAATAAAATAATTAAATATTTGATGATTTAATATAATCTTTAAATAATTAATAATAATCAATAGAATAAATGAATGAAAATCAAATTGATAATAAATCAATGAATTAATTAACATTATATTAAATAAATGAAATAATTAATTAATTAAGTTAAAAAGATAAATGTAAAACATTTAAAGAAATATTGATAAAATTGATAAAATATTTTATTCAGATTTTAAATCTAGATTCAAACATCTAATACAATATTAATTAATAAATATTTAATAATTTAATTAAATAATTATTAAAGATAATAAAGTAATTAATTAATTAAAAAATAGAATGAATCAGATAATTTATGTATAAATCAATTAATTTTGACTTTTCATAAAGAATATTCATTGAAAATATAGATTAATATATAAAACTTAAAGAAGAGATAAAAGTCTTAAGAATTATAAATGAATTTAATAATTATATAAATAAATTCAATTAAGATTACATCTAATTTTAATAATTTTTAGAAATCAATTAAAAATTGAATGTGTTCTAAGATAATCAAATATTTAAATAAGAGTTGATTGAATAAGTTATTGAATCATGGGATGAAGCTATTAAAAAAAAATAAAAATAACAAGAATATTATGTTGAAAAAAGTATTTTAAATAGAACTATTTTTAGTTAATGAAAGAGAATTATAAAATTGGAAAAGTATCAAATAATCTAAGTCTAATTAGTGAATATCTTAGAGAAATAAAGTAATTTTAGAGAAGCTCTAAAGATATCTAGAATGAACGAAGCAATAAAAAAAATATATTACAAAAAAATTTGTGGTCTTTAGAAACTTCTGTCATTTTATTAAAGTGTCTTAAATAAATATTTTTAAGGTTTTAAATAATAGATTATTTATAAAATTATAAGGATTCTTAGATTTACTTCTCTTTAAATTATTATTTATATATTTAATATGATAATTAAAATTATATTAATTATCTCTTTGCATTGATTTTTTCTTAAGAGTGTTGATAATAGTTTCCCTACTAGGATCATGGCAGCGAAAAATTATTAAACTATCATGATGAATAAAAATTTTATGGGAGAATTAGCATTTTTTCCTTTCATTATTGATTAATTAAATTTATGCATAGAACATAGATATTGTAAGCTTTCTTTAATGATTCTATTCTAACCTTAACTTTTTTATAAAACTAAGGAATTCTTGTAGAATGAGATTGAAATTTTGATGAAAAAAGGTTTGAGAATTTCCATTAATAAAATCTTTTCTGGAATTAATTTAAAAATATATTTCATTATTAATTTAAGCATCATGTAATGTATTTTTCAATTCCTAAGTATCAACAAACTTCATTTAATCACTATTTTATATTATTGTAAGAATAAATTAACTAAATTTCTATTATCTCAAAAAAATATAATTTATGGAGCAATTAAATGATAATTACAGTTACTATTGTTCTTTGAGATTACTAGAAATTTTAGTGTTATTGTTTGTAAATCAATACGAATATTAATCATATGAATAGAATAAAATAAAATACTTCTAAGGGCTTCCAAAAAGCTATTTTTAATGCATTTTTGCAATCATTATGTATTCTTAATATTTAAATAATTGTATTAATTTTAAATTTATCATTATAATTATTTAGAATGTAAATTATATTACAAAAAATTAAATGATTTTTCATTTTTTAGAGTTCATTCTCTTACTATTCCATGCCATATGTTTTGTTGCCAACTGGAGACTGGTCGATTCTAGATTTACAGAGACATAAATATTGGAAGTTAACAGTTGGATATCAAAAGATTCTTGCACAACCTCAACGGTTTCAGACATGCTGAGCAATGGAAATTGTTAGACAAATCAATTATAGAAATATGTTATATATATATCAATACTTGCTTTTCTACTTCTTTAACTTGTAATGGTCCTTTAGAAACAAATTTTTTAATATGTTATAATAGTTAAAGTGTAATCGGCCGAAAATGCAAATGCATTTCGGATTAATAATTTTCAGAAACTTTTAAGGTGTATTTAAGAATGTTTTCGAGATTACTCAATAGTTAGATATGATAAAATTTGTGTTTAAGACAACCGAATTAAATCAATCATTAAATTATTTAATGATATTATCATTCAAAAATCCAATTAATTTAGATATTATTCTTTTATTTTTCTTTTTGACAAATTTTATCCAAAAAATACAGATTTAATTAAAGAGAATTGTAATGGAATTAGTTTTATAGGAAATTTATAATTTAGTGAAAGAATGCTATATTAACTGAATTTACAAGAGTCAATCAAATTCTTAAGGATACATATTACTTTTTATTTGTTTAATTTTCAAGATTCAAGTAAAATTGAAATTTTACATAATAATCAAACACTCTCTAGGATCATCAAAGATCCATTAGGTTTTTAACATGAAAACTTGATAACAATATTTGAAAAAATTGATAATTGCTTTAGTAGTTGTTATACTTTATTGAGAGTTGAAATCATTTTTTAATTATTAAATCAAAATCCAATAATTATACTTTAAGGATTACTATAATAAAAAAAATGTATTCTGGGGTTTTAGAAATGTGACAATTGATTCTGGATTTGTTAGAACAATTGTAAGATTTTTTCTGATAATTCTAAATGTATATAACGTGAAACCGGGTATTAATTATATAAAAGTAAATGTGAAATTTCATTTCTTATTCATTCATCGAATTGTGATGATTATAAAGATATCATTCAATTTAGAATTAAAACTATATTTTAGATTCAAGTTACATTGCAAAAGGGTTCTACGATTTGAATATGACAATTGAGAATATAAATTTATTTTATGATACAGTAACAATTTCATCCAACAATTATGCAACTTGTTAAAAATTTTCATTTCTAAACAATAAGATAGTATTATGAGGTTTATTGGTTTGGTACTTCTAAATCTAATTGTCTTTATTGTGTTCAAGAATTTCATAGAAGCATCTAAAGAAATTAATGTTTATGTTAGCCAGGTGATTATGATGATGGAATTAATCTACCATGTCTACCAATTTGTGGAGATTAAATCATAGTTGATGAAGATGATTGTGATGATGGTAATAATGATCCATATGATGGATGTCATTAATGTTAATTTACATTTTAAGATGAATGTTAAATTTGTTTCAAAGGTAAATGTTATCATTGCAAAGATAATTATTCATTAATTGAGGCTATTAATACTTTCATATCAATTTGTGGTGATTTAGTAATAATTAAAATGAATAATGCGATGATGGTAATAATATTAAATTTGATAGATGTCATTCTTGTTAATTCTAATGGTATAATCATTGTATCCATTGTAGTTAAAGAATTTGTTAGAAATGGGATGAAATAAATGGATGGTATTTAACAGGTGCGAAATGTGAATTTATATGTGGAGATGGAATAGTTGCTAAAGGATAAGCAATATTGTGAAGATTCAAATTTATATCCTTTCGATTTATGCAATTTTTGCGAATAAGAATGTTCAGAACATTGTTTGCTTTGCTCAAATGGAAAGTGTCTTAAATGTGGGAAAGGATTTTAATATGATGAATAAAATAAATTATGTTTTCAAATTTGTAGTGACATTTTAATTGTAGGGAATGAATAATGTTTAGATTAGATAACATATTATTTATAAATTTGTGAGAATTGCTAGTTAAGTGTCATCATAATTTTTAACTATGTAATTATGGCTAATGTAATTAATGTTAATTTGGTTATAATTTAATTAATAATGGTTGTTAACAAGATTATGGAGATGGATAAATTGTAGGTACTGAAATTTTTGACTCATCTATTTAATATATCAATTCTAATTGATTTAACTGTAATTATAATTGTGGATATGGCTGTTTTATTTGCAATTAGGGAATCTGTGAAGATGGGATATTTATTAGATAATTATGCATGTTATCCAATTTATGGAGATTTAATAATAGTTGAACCTGAGTTATGTGATGATGGAAATTTAATACCTTTTAATGGATGCCATAATTACTATTCTTGTGATTTAGGCTGCATTATATGCTAATCTGGATAATGTACAGAAATCAGTAAGCCAAATGAAGATAATAATAATGATTAGACTACTTCTGATTGTATTCCAGATTGTAATCTTTATAGTAATGAGAATTATTGTTTAGCTTGTAATGAGTACTTTTAATTAATTAATAATTTATGTGCACCTATTTGTGGGGATAGTATTGTGATGGTTTAGAGGGATATGATGATGGAAATGACCAACCATAAGATGGATGCTATAATTGCTAATTTTTATGTTTTTAAGGTTGTGTTGAATGTTAATAAAATTAATGTACAAAGTGTAATGATAAATTTTACATTTTCGATATCTTAACTTAAAAATGTTTGTAAATAAACTCTTATCAAAATGATTAAAATATTGATTATCCAACTACAGAGTTTCAGTAATATAATGCTTTAAGATGTGGAGAAAATCAATTGCTAATTAATAATTTATGTATCAATAAATGTGGGAATGGATTTCTAGCCAATAAATACGAAGAGTGTGATGATGGAAATATTTTTGGAGGAGATGGATGTTCTTCATTTTGTAATACGGAGGATTCATTAAATTAGGAAGATTCATTAAGTTTATGCACATATATTGAAGCTCCTGACTTCAATCTCAATATTTTATCTGATAAAGGCAGTTCAATATAATTATTAGAATTAACTTTCACATAATAAGTTAAAATATAAACAGGACTAGTTATTAAACATATTATGTTGTTCACAATATCTCCAGAAACTCAATATTACTTAACAATCAATAGCATTGATAATAAAACAATTTACTTGGGCTATCCAAAATATTAAATTTAAATCGAGCATATTCAACCAATTTAAAATCCCATACTAAAAGCAGAGATAGAGAAGTCCATAATACATAATGCATTTCATTATGAGTTATAAATATACTAAAAGAAGATCATTCTTGGAACTACTATTGTGTTGCCTGAGACCACAAAATAATAATAACTTCTGTTATATAAATTAATGATGTATTCTATTATAAGTATATCAAGTTTAGCTTAGCTATCAAGTAATGCAATTATGTTCTTTAACATATTAGATTTATTATTGTCCTTACCATATATTAAGTTTATGTAAAATAAATTTCTACCTAATTTAATTGAATTTTTGAACACTTATCCTAAAGTATCATTGCAATCAATCATGAATTATTTTAAAGTAGATTAATTATTGGCAAAATTAAATGGTGGTACTTTTCCAAATCACTTCACCAATAAATCCAATAATTAAATTTAAGCGAAAAGGTATTTTAAGTTCGAATATCAAAGCTGACAGATTACTGGTTTTAGAAATAAAAAAGGAAGCAAAATAATATTTTTATGAAGGCATTAAGAGTAGGAAATCTAACTTCAGAGGAGGAATATATTCTATGATTTGTATGTTATCGTAAATGCGAATGAATAGTATTTGAATGCCTATTGAGTTTCATTCATAAATCTTTTTATCAAGTAACATTTTCATCATTAATAGCATTCACCTTAGATTAATTAAATTTTATTATCTTTTTATAGAGAATAAAATAATGGAATACTTCTACATTTTGTAATAGCATTTATAATTGCAATAATTTTAATTAAACAAATATGAGAAGCCAAAATAAGTGGAACCTTCCATCTGAGAACATAATAGCAACATAGAAAAAAATATGATAATTAATTAATTATAAGTTATAAAACAAAATTTATTATTATGAATTGATAAAAGATTATTTTAGATTAATAATATTAAGTTTATATAACTTTAAATTAAATAAATTAAAAAAAAAATATTCACTCATTTGAGATTGAACTAAAGATTTTTTTTATTTTATCATTTGTTAAAATAGCCAAGTTTATAAGCATTTTTATACCGGCGTTGATTTATTATTTAAATTTTATTAAAATGTCAGGCCGATTGAATAAGATAACATCCTCATTACGTGGAGGTGGTTGTGGCTCTATTAAAACAATACCCAACACAGAAATAGTCTTAAAGTCTGATATTTAAGACATAGAAAATTTCATTACTAGATTTGATTCTTTTGTCTAAACGATTTACGCTAAAGCAGCTGTTGCTGCTAATCAATCAGAAGCTTAAGAAATAATGATAGCCATATAATGGCTTATTTTTTAAGAGGAAAACATTTATAAACTCATCAAGAATGCCTAAAAGGTCTTGAAATCATACAACTTAATTATAGATGGAATCCTAAAATTATTGAAAAGTTGTTTGATCTATGTCAGAACGGATTCATTTAAATTTTTATTCATCTTAAGGACGACAGCTTCTCTATCTAAAGTGATATTTAGCTTCCATATAAGAAAGGATTAGAGATTTATGAACTGTGATACATAAAAGCAATTTGTGGATATTTGTGATGAATTAAGACAATAAATGGAAATAGAGAAGAATGATTTAATTCATACTTAATTGGAACTTTACGTTTTCTTAACAAAAACTTCTTTTCAAATAGCCCCAAATGATGGTAAAGATAGGGATGATATATTAAATGGTTGCCTAAATGGTATCGTTAACTCAATATTTGATATGAAACCTAATACTGAATTGTTTATGTAATTGTATCATGGAGCCTGCCTACTTTACAATAAGTATACAGTTTAAAAAAATAGAGAATAATTTGAAGTTTATTTTTAAATTGATACGTTGTAATGGGAGATCATAAATAATTAAAAAATGACAGCTAACAGAATTTGGAAGAAATAATTATATAAATTGAGAAAACAAATTAAAAACTTGTGAAAAATTCAAGTAATTGGCAAAATCATTTTTTGTGGATCTAAATGATTGGAAAAATCTTAATCTATAATCCTCTAATAACCAAAAAAAAAACTAAAGCTGGCTAGCTCTTTTAATCTTGAAGCCAAATGGAAGGAATATATGAACAAAGGATTTCTGATTTAAATGAATCATAGCAATGACCAAGCTTTAATTTTGCTTAATTAATTTAAAAGTAAAGAAACAACTTAAATTGATAAAATAATACTAGAAGACGTCTTCAAAGAATGGGAAAACCTTATGTTGCTAAAAGACTTCTTAATGAATGAAAATAAAAATAATATCTATTTCAAATTTTGTTCTTATTTAAAATTAGAATCAGGAAGTATAGAAAACTAAGAAAATGAAGATATTTAGGCAATTTACAAAATTTAACAATTTGTTGATTTCATCATTTCGAAAAAATTACTAGCTTTATTTGGGAGTAATAGTTAAAAATTATAAAAATTTTATCCAAAAAAATTAGTACTATAATATAGCAATTGAAAAAGCTTCATATACTTCATTATTAAAAAACATGATTCTCAATTTCAAAGAGTATTTTCAAAACACTCAAAAAATCATTAAAATGATGAGACTTAATTAAAGGAAGGAAGATTTTGAGATTGATTAACTTGAATAGAAAAAGATGAATGAATTATAAATGTTTTCAAAGCTTAGAAATATTATGAGACTCTTAGAATAAATATTATCATCAAAAATTTAAGATATAAATGATCAGGGAAATGAACCAGATGAAAGCATAATGCTTTAGTAAGAGATAGAGCTGATTTAGAAGGAATTATAAAATTTAAATCTAAAAGATAAAAATTTTCTTTTGCCAGTAAGTTTAAGTAAAAGCTACTTGCCCTACCTAATGCTACCCTAAATTAGAAAAGTTTTTTGTAAGAAGCTCAATTTATGTTAAAACTTATTTAACAAACTGAAAAATCAATCTAGGAGCTAGAAATTTTGTTAATGAACAAGGGTAACGTAATTAAATACTTTTAAAGGTTATTGAATACCCTAAATTGTTATTATGAACACCAGATCTAAGAACTTCAAAAAGACTTTAATGAATTACTTTTAAGTTTTAAGACAATTCTAATTTTACAATATGAAATAGAGTTTGTTTCTCTACCCGAAAAATTAAAAGATATTAAATAATAATAGTTTTGCAGGCTTTCCTTTTAATTTCTTCAAAAATAAAGATTGAATACTTTAAAGATTAAACTACAATTAATTGCTTTCAGAGAATGTTTTTTACATACATTAAAAATACCATTAGAATTGTAATAGTTAAAAAATTTTATTATTTTGGATCACTTTCTACTTGATGTACTTTTCAAGAATATCAAACAGCATATTGAATGGTGAAAATAAAACAGAAAAAATAATAGTTTGCCAGAGAATATTGTTGATTTTTACAAGAAGTTAATGGTTGAAACAAAAGAAAAGTTAAAAATATCTAAGTGGGAATTAGAGGAAATTTAATTTAATCAAGATTATTTAGTTCAATTAACTAAAAAAATCTACCTACTAGAAATTGATAAGGAATATGAGGTCAAATCAAATCAATAGGATTAATTCTCTATTGATTAATAAAAAAATGATGAATGGAAAATTAAATAGGGTTTAATATTAACTATAATATAGATTTCATTGAATAGCTTCACAGAAACAATTACTCAATTTTGTTAAAAAACTCTCATTTAATTATGGGTCTTAGAAAAAGATTAAAGAGTTAGAAATTTATTGAAAAATTAACACTTAATAAGGTTATAGATGTAAATTTTGTAGAAAGATTGGTAGAGTTAACATGATAGAATTGCAGGAGAGATGTAAAAAATGCTGAAGAGGATTGATGAATTGTAAGAATCAATTACCCAGGAGGCAAATCTTAACAAAAGAGAACTATAATTGAAAGAAATGGATGAAACAACTCAGCAATTAGATGAATACATTTAAAATATCAGCGCTGATTTTGTAAATCATATCAGAAAAGGTTTGTTAAGAGTTGAGGGGAAAATAAATCAAATAAAAGAGTAGCTAACAATTTGGGGAATGATCTTAAATATTGAGAGGAAAATCAGTTATATAATTGCTTGAAATTAGAAAATGGAAAGTGTTAAAGGAAGCAGCAGAAAAAAATGTTAAGTCCATCTATGTATCATTAAAAACTAAAGAGAAAGGTAAAAATGAAAGCAGTAATTTGATGAATTTAGATTAATTTGATGATAAAGATGGAGAAATGAATGAGTTTTTATATGAAGGGAAAACAGTATTGCTAATTCATGGATTAGCTGGATCAGGAAAAAGTACTACAGCCAAAAAAATTGAAGAATTTATTTGGAAATTACATGAAAGTAATAAAAAAATTGGGAATTATGTACTAATACCTGTTTATATTTCATTACCCTCTTTAAAAAACCCTGTGTTTTAAGCAGTAGAGGAATCACTTCATTAAGATGATTACGGGTTTGATGATCTCTAATTGTAA